ACATATATTTATACATGAGTATTGTTGGAAATTGCTTGCCTGATATCAGGCAGAACTTGTTTTTGTACCCTGTTGCAATCTTCTACCAGTCAACTTGAACTTAATGGAATGGGCAGATTCAAAGGTCTGGACCCAGGCAAGGAAAGAACCTGAGAATAAACCTTGTTACCATTACTCTGCATATGTAAAATTAAGAACTTGAACTTTTTAACTTTATCTTTAATTACCTTTGTTTAAGAATGTATTCTGGGGCTTTGGGGTCATGCCAATTACAAAAACAAAACAAATTTATATTTATGTGTACCAAATATTAGCAGGACAGCAATATAATTTATTGTAGAAGAAGACAAAGTTACCGGTGAATGTCTCTGTGCAGGGGTTGACACCTGCCAACCGCTTAGAGGTACCAAAGTCTGAGATCTTCAAGACTCCACTGTAGGTGTTCACCAATACATTATCACCCTGAGGACAAACAGCAGCTGTTTACTATTAATCCACAGTGAAGTTACAGTTCCCGGATGATTGTACGATGTTCGGAGTTCTTCCTTGTACCTTGATATCTCGGTGAACGATCTGGTTCTCGTGCAGGTATCGGAGCCCCTCCAGGATCTGTCTGGTGTAGAAGATGATTGTTGCCTCCTTCAGCGGGCCCCATTTAGACCGCAGCAACGCAGACAGGCTTCCTGGAGAAAGGAAGAGAAGGAGTGTCCAAAACCTATCATGAAATGGGAAGATGACCAAGCAGTTAGAGAGACCGCTCAGTAACCGAGGTCACAAGCATCGATCTCTGAAACATACTATTTATCCTACCTGCACAGGGCTAAATTATCAGTAAAGCACAAAGTAGACACAGTATTTCTCTCTTGTTCTGGTGCTTTTGTCCCTTTATTGCTAAGAACTGAAGGTTCTCAAACAAAAACAAATCCTAGTTCACACAACTGTGTAATTGTTCAACCATTGTTCTTTCTCATACAAACACACCTCCAGGCACTTGTTCCATGAAGATCTTGATGTATCCATTCTCAGAAACAGAGCCCAGATACTGAACAATGTTCCTGTGTTTCAGGTACTTGTGGAGGGCAATTTCCTCATGAAGAGGCTGGGAGTACCTAATTTACACAGAGAGAGAAACAACCACAGACAAATACTTTGTTTCCATTTATCCAGATAAAGTTTACTTATAATGCATATTCAGTTACAGCATCAACTTGCCTCACAATCTTATATTTTTAAGCAACTAACCAATCTAGTGTTGTCAGAACAAGACATTCATTTACCATCACTTGTGCCATAATCCAGAGATTGTGTTTAAGTCAATGTATGTGACATTCAGAGCATTAACATAGCAGCAAACCACTACTTGCTATGTAGACAAAATGGAGTAATGGCGTCCTGAGCAGACAATGAAGTCACGCTACCTCTGTGTGTGTTGTAATCCAAGTTCCTGTTCTTTGATTTGGTAGGTGGTCCAGCTGTGTATGCATGTTAGTGTATATGAGTCCCTGTAAGTGTGTCCCACTGGCTAGCTAATCGCCAACGCTCTGCTTGTAATCATTCAACTGTTACCACTGATAACCCCATCCCAGTCCATGACAGTGTTGTTGCAGAAGCGTAGTGCCCACCCTCAGGCTCCCCACTGGGTTAACAATGTTAGCTCTGTCAGCACTGGGGCCATTGTTAGCACCATTAGTTGCAACCTGTCAGCTCACCACCCCCATGTTGAGAACTGCTTGCAGACAATCCTGCCACAGACACTGAATCATAGATATGCTCTGAATGATCAAAAAGTATGTACATATTTTTGCCGAAATATGGTCTCATGGTGGTCCACCAGAGGGGGAGGGACTTCGCCTCTCTATAGAGCAAGCGCACTAGCATTTCCTTTAACTGTGCCTCCAAACTGTTGGTCTCGGGCCTACTCACATGAATCACAGAAGAAAATAACTCTGGATCAGCTATTAGTGAGCTTTAGGACTTCTGGGGTGTAAGGATTTTAATAAGGGCTATTGAAGTTGATGTACTATGGGAACAAGTCTTTTTGGGCCCAGTGGCATTACATGACAGACTGAGAAGTTGTAATTACACTTTATAGCCACTACATTGAGTTGTCAAGCCCAACTCTGTTCCTATGGGCTGGGCTTTGCGATCAATGCATTTTTTGACAATAAAACAAAATGGAAAACAACAACTTTTTGAATGTCGAATGTGGTAAACTTTGGTCAGGGTTACTACAAGTCATCATACCTGCTGTCTCTCTCAGGGATCTCTTTGATGGCGATTCGGACCTGGTTGCTGAGGTCTCTCCCGGCGTACACTACTCCATAGGTGCCCCGCCCCAACACCACCCTGTCTCCTGTCTCATTGGTGTCATACTCATACTGTAACACATGCACATTCTTAATCATCAACTGGAACTATAAACACAGATATTTACTGTAAAAAGCATGGCTATATTTATGACCTCCAGTGTATCTCCGTCTCCTTCCCCCTCCAGCTCGACAGCATTCCCTGTACCATCAGATATCATTTCTTTCACCATGGAGCAGAATCTGAAACACACATATACACACACATGATAACATTATTATTTCCAGTTCATGGCCATCAGCTTATGTTGCGATACAATCGCACATACGTACTGTACCAACACAAACGCAGACAAACACACACACCTACACAGACACATCTAGAGGTGTGTGTCCTCACCGACCGCACTGTTCCTCAGTTGAGAAGTAGATCTGGAAGTCATCTGAGTTATCATGGACGTAGAGGAAACAGCAGCGCTCATCAAACTTACTGATGCTGCAGACAGAAGAGTTGGAGTACATGAAAGCTTTGGCTCATTTTTTCTCATCTTTCACTGTGTTGTTACATCTTACATCAGGATGTTAAAACTCAATGTAATCTTCTTTGTGGAATAATAAGTTTTCATATTTACATGTACGACTTTTCAACCCTTAAATTATGTGCAACAAATGTTCATTGTATCTCTCATAGTTATGAACTCAAATAAACCATTACAAATGACGTGTTTTAGCTGCATAATGTCAAACAGTTTGGGACCTTCTGCATTTTATTCAGTTCCAACTTCACATTCATACCTAATGCCTTTGATGGACATGGCAGTGAAGTTCCACTCATGGATCCCTTTCTGTAATGAAAGTGAATGAGGTTTTAAATTTTCACATTGCTCACTTTTGCACAGAATGGTCACATATTTAACCAGAACTCACTCAAAAGCTATATTTGCTTGCAGCCCTTTGCTGCATGTCATCCCCCCTCCCTCTCCTATGTTTCCTATCTATCTGAGCTGTCCTATCAACAAAGGCAAAAATCTGCAAAATATACAGCAAGTAGCGCTAATTCACAAATTGGGTGCCATTTAAAGATTGATGGAAATACAGCATTTGCTTTGGTTTCATGTATTATTTAAGGAACATTACAGCCCTATTGCACATCGTCACATTTTGCTTTAATTGATACACCAGCACCAGTGAGGCATAAAATTTCTTTTCGAGATACTTTGAGGTTCTTTTCAAATTTCTGTGACATTTTACATTCAGACCTTTTATGTACAAAACAGGTGGAGAGAAACACATTTACTAAGTTTATTTTTCGATGTTGCAGTGCAATGAAATGCTGCAGTGAAGAGTACAAGGGTCCTGTGGTTAAAAGTGATATTCTTACTGTTTCTGCAGGAGAGACATGCCAGATAGAGACATTCTTCTCTTCTGCCTCGTTGTTAATGGACACATAGGAAGGCTGGTAAATCTTCGTTGGCTCCAGAATCAACACCTGTAACAGAAAAAAAAAGCAAGTGTTAGTGTGAGTCTCTGAATATCTGACTGAGCATATCTGAATGTTTGTGTTATTGTGTTTACTGGAAAGCGCAGTCGATTGGTGGTGCCCTGCGTGGCCTCGACGATGATGTCCATCCAGAAGTTGAGTCTGTCCCGCTGAGGAGAATGTTCTATCGTCTGTTTCTTAAACCTCTGGATGAGCTGCAGGTTCTGCACCACGGAGCGCAAATACCTGGAAAAAAATATCAGACAAGTCATAATCACAGGCAACAAGAGGAACTGGAAAGCAATATGGGACTGAATTATAAATGGACAAAAGTCAAGGAGCATGTCTATTACCCTGTAATGACACTCCATTTCCCCATATTGTTGATTATTATTTCAATTTTTATGTCATATGTATGGTCAGTGAGAGGAAATGGCCACTGTTTTTATATTTAAAACAACATCACACACAAAAGAGTCAAACTAATGGATGTTTTGAAGGGGGTCTACTTTTAGTCCTCTTCTGTCACTGTTTCTTTTTTTAATGCAGAGTATAAAACAGGCTAAAACACAATTACTTTGATTAATAACATGTATTTCATTGATTAACCAAGTGTACTTCATCAGTACACAAACAATATAAATCATACGGTAAAACAGTGTTGCTTAAAACATGAAAAGTACTTTTTACTGATAACAAACACGCACAGATACTGCACCACAACAACACAGAATAGAACCTTTTTTTGTGAATGTCTTTACCAGAGTGGCGGCTTGAGTTTGAAGAGCTTCTCGGCAGCCTGAGTAGCTTTGGGGATGTCGTTAGCTAGCATGCTAACGGTGAAGAACTGGCCCACGTCCCAGTAATTATTCATTTTCTCCAGGGAGCCTTTGCGCCCCAGCAGACTGTTCAACCTCACACCTAAAGACATCACATTATCAGCGTGAAACAACTGTAAAATAAAACTTTTTTAAAACCATTGAACTTAATTTTGACAGCAAAAGACAAATGAACAATATGTTATTAGTGATTCTGCATTATCAATTCTTCATTTTGAACATTCTGTGTTTAAGCATACTAACATTCAATTCAAATGCAGCAGGCTTTGTGGCCTAGCTACCTTGTTTTGTTCACATTTGGGCTGTTTTAAATGCTTTTAGCTGTTTCCTTGCAGGTGGCTACAGTATTAGTTAATTATTTACCCCTTAAATTAGGCAAGACACAATTTCACCGTTTGTTTGTAGTCTAAAACTGAACTGACTTTGGCACAGTGGATGCAGTAAATTGGTCCCAGATGTGGGATTGTAAGAAAACTCTAAAACTCTAAAAAAAAAAAAAAAAATGTAGAATAGGCCTGTATTTCAGCATTTCATTCATTTCTGTTGCTAAAACTAACTAAAATTGTTATTTTTAAAGTTGAGATTATTATTCAAAATATATACACTTTTAAAAAATCTTACAGGAAAAGGTCAAGAACACAAGCTTTATATTTACAGAGCCTTCACTCTCTACTTAACAGCTTCACCCGCATAAGAAAAGTACACAATTAGAACAACTAAAGAGCTAATAGAACAATGGCCAAGCATCAGGGAGAGGAAAACGCTGAATCTGTCAAAAAAGTCTATTAAGTATGAATGTTACAAAATAAAATAAATATAAAGTACAGACACAGAATCATAGGAAAAACTTCCTTAAAATATCAGGAAATTAATTAATTAATCTGCTCAACATTCATCATAATCACTCATTTCACACAAATGTCCTGTATTTGTTTACAATGCATTGACTATAATACGAAATATTCATATGCTAACTTAGTCAGGGGGTTGTCAGTTTACTCATTGATAGAAAAGGTGTCCTCAAGGAAAAAGGTTGGGAACCAGTGCAGTAAACAATACGTCATTCAAAGCAACTGAAACATTTGATAATGTTGGTATCAGATGGCTCCAGCTTGACTTATAGGCACTGAGTGCCGGCTTGATAAAACAATCAAAGTGGGGTTCAGGTTCTTACCTATTTTCCTCAGTTCAATGGAGCTCTCAAACTGTTGACCAGCAACTATGAGAAGGACAGCCAGGTTGATCCCAGAGTAGAGAGTCGGCTGCAGCTCAAAACCCTTTCTGTACCTGCACCGAAGCAAATAATGAAGAGTGTAGAAAATTACGGTTTCCTAGCATTTACATATTCATAAAAGAGTGTGCATGTGTTCTCACCACTGTATAGCATTGTCCCTGTTCTTGGTGTCTTTGCAGTCTGAGTCCAGGAAGATGTCCTTGTATATCCGTCCACAGAGGCAGAACATGTCCGGTGCTGGATGTTCACATGACTGTAACACCTGCAGCATCACTCTGAGAGCCTGTTCCCTGTCACCAGGACTGTTCCTCCTGCACATGGACACATTTATGAATCAATGTTAGGCTGATAAGTTGCACTGAACTACAAGGTGAATTTATATGTTCTTGCTACAGTTTTACATATTGTTTAATAGAAATTATACATTTCTTTGGTATAATAATTTCCCTTTTAATAAAAAAAAAGCCACAAAGTCAGATTCTGGACTCAATTGAATACATAGCTACTGACTGTGTTTTGACTTTCTAGGGCAAAATACATCTAGGGATTATGACATCTGGCTTTAATGTAAGAGGAAAATCCACTTCCTCCAGTTGTAGGGTCAATAAAATCTATCTAAATCCCATTTTAAATTACTTTCTGCACCCATCCAAAGCCTAGGCAAAAATATGAAAAGTAGTTCAGCCTGGTTCTCTGTACCTGTTGAGGGCGAAGGCGTAGTGGAACTGGATCATTGGCTGGGTGGCCAGATCACAAGTCGGTAGCATCTCCAAAGTCTGCACCAGCTTCACCATGGCATCGTAGTCCTGGCGTTCAGGTTATGTGTATTTATATATACTTAGTTGGTGTTACTGTCACTCCAAATTAAGACCATGTTGAGTGTTTGTACCTGTATGTCTCTGTAGGAAAACAGCAGGTTCATGACGATGTCCTGGGTGAGGACCTCCGTGTTGTCAATTCGGAGTTTGATGCGCGAAAGCTCCTTGGCCAGCTCCTCTCCCTGGTACTTCTCTCTGGCCTTCCTGATGTCATTTAGCAGGGTGTCCTTAAAGGAAGCACTGCAGAAGAATCACAGTAAAAGACGAGACAATGAAATGAGAGAAAATTGGGGGAGATCCTCAAATTTTGGGGGAAAAGGTAAGAACAATGTCCTCTTTGGAGCACAGCTGGACTGAAAATCCAAATGCTTTTTACAACAGGAAGAGTCAAGAGTTGTTGGGGCCATGTAAGCTACCCACCTGCAGACAAGATAATTTATGTGTAATGACATTAATGCTTTAAATGTGTCTCACCAGGATGTGACATGGATGTCCTTCAGCAGGCTGGTGAAGCGGTCGAACAGGGGGACACAGAGCGGCCCCAGCAGGTTGTCCCAGCTGGGCTGCATGTACTCACTGGCCCTGCGCTGGGCATCACTCTCACAGCACATGTACTCATGGTTAGGAGTCACTATGTAGGGGATGAAGTAGTAGTTACCACTGGATGCCTGGAGGGAGAGAAAGAGGAAAACATTCTTTGTCAAAGGAAAAAGAGGACTGAAATTTGAGCGCTTAAATATAATACAGCTCTATATGGGATAAATACACACATGCTGGATGCCAGGTGTAAAAGGAGTCCAGGAAGGAAGGAAGAGAAGAGATGGAGAGATTGGGGATTATGGAGTGATAAATGAGGCGGATCAGTATGAGCAGAGGATCAGCACACTACTGAGATTTTTGATAGCATCATGACAGCATCAGCAAAGGTTAACGAAAGTAATCAAGCTCACATGGCTGTTAAAGATCCAAAACAGCAAGAACTAATGCACACAAATACACACTGCAACACCACGTCTCTTTATCTCTCTATGTATTTATGTAGAGGCCGATAAACACTGACTATAGGGCACTACTTGCTCATATTTATTTCCACCCATTCATGCAGCACTGCTGTAAACTACCAGTAATTCTCAAACCAAGTGCTGGAGTTACCAGGTCTCAATAGTTAGTCTTGGCGTTGTGCTAACTACAAGTAGCGGTGACGAAGACCTGCTGTTTATTTTTGTAAGCTGAAACCCATTTCCCTCAGTGGAAACAAATCTTATATTTACTTCTAATTCATAGATAAGAAACAATAAATTGTGAAGACAATGAAGTCCCCTAGCTACTAGGCTAATTTATACAATGTAAAATGTCATTGGCTTATGCTAATATTGTTAGCATGCAGTATTTGTGGAGAAAACATGTAGTTTTGGGTAATGATGTTGCTGTTAAGCCACATTTTATGTGTGTTTTAGGTGTTAGTTGAACACAACCAAACTTTACAGCACTTCACAGAAACTCAACACAGCAGAACACCCAAAAAGACAAAGACAAACCACTGCTGAAGTATAAATGCTCACAACAGCGTAGGTTACTTACGTACATAGGCTATGATGTGGCTCACAACTATAAATCAGATTTTATTTCTAAAGTTTATGTCATCATATTAATATTAAAAAGCCCTGACTGTCTAAATAACTGCTGGATCTCATGTAATATAACCTGCCGTCCTGAGCTTATCATCTCTTCTAAGAACAGACAGTGGCTTTTTATCCGTCTTTGGTTTTGTGAGTGACACACTTTTGTTAGGGCATTTAATTTGTTATTCACACAACATCCCATGGGGAGGTCAGTGTTTTTGGCTCCTCCTCCATGTTTGTTATTATTATTAGCCTTTGAGGAAATCTCCTAGCATGCCCTGGTGCAGCATGGTACCTACTTTATTGCGCAATCCAGAGCCTCTATACTCTGGAGGCAACTGAACCCAGGGAAAACCTAATGCTGGAGGATGTGAGGCCTTCTCCACACACACAGACAAACAATACACACAATACATTAAACAATATAATGTGTGTGTGTGTGCGTGTGTGAGAAAGAGCAAGACAGAGAGAGAGAGAGAGAGAGAGAGACAGACAGACAGACAGACAGACAGAGTGAAAGCATGTAGATATGCATTCCTGCATGCAGTTGTGCATGAGAGGACGAATGGCACTTGTCATGAATATAACTCCACAAATAGCACAGGACAGTGTGCACACATAAATAACACACAGACACACACACACACACACACACACACAGAAACTTACTGTGTTTTTCTGTGCCACCATGTCCTGTAAAGAGATATAAAAAGAGAAGTGAGAATGGATTTAAAGTGTGTATTCTTGTGTTCTCTTTAGTGGTGCTGCCACATTACTACTTCAAACAGCTGTTTCCCCCTGGCTGCACAGTGCATGCTTGACTGTAGTGGATCACTTTGTTCTGAGGAACTGCCAAGGAATGGCATCCATGAACTCTAAATACACCCACAGAAGAATCAAAGAGGTGTGTGTATTTGTGTGTGTGTGTGTGTGTGTGTGTGTGTGTGTGTGTGTGTATGTGGGGCAGTACCTTCAGTGACTGGGCAGTGTCAGGGTCAGTGTCGTGGTACAGGATGACGTTGTTGGCCATGTCGAAGCTCTCCCTCACACCCAGGTGGTAAAACAAGGAGGGCTGACGAAACACATCGCTCATGTCCACAACTGCGATGTCTGGAAGGAGGAACAAGAGTCGGCAACCATGTTGACAACCACGAGGAAGCACATAAAGGCGGCAAAAACATTCTCGAAGCTCATGTTAAAATCCATCAGCCCTTGTGTTAGACACTCTGAGATCTACAACCTTTAGGAGAACATCTGACCTCTGACGTTATACGAGGTGGGAATGTTTTTAGCAGTAAGCATCAGTGGTGGAAGTAGTACTCTGACCTTTTACTTCAGTAGATATAGCAATATTATAGTGTAAATATACTATTATAAGTGAAAGTGCTGCATTCTTAACTTTGCTTAAATGAAAATATAAAAGTATTTGCATTAAAATATACTTAGAGTACCAAAAGTTAAAGTACTCATTACGCAGAATGGCCCTTTCAGTATAATTGATAATACATTATTGCATTATAATTATTAATGTGTTGCAGCTGATAAAGGTGGAGTTAATATCAGCTACTATATAAACTGCTGGATTGATTTATATTTTGTACAAATCCGCTAGGTAACTAGTAACTGACATTGAGCGTACCTATGTTTACAAAATCCAACCAATGTTAACCAATGTTATCATGAGCCAGGAGGCTGTGATCACATGACCTATGTGCTGCAGGGTGACGGTAGCAAAGGAAGAAGTCAGGTGACCTAGTATAAAGCGGGACACTATGCATAGGCACATGGCTGAGGTGATGGTTGGGTCAAAAAACACAGGACTTTGACCCAGGAGACCAGGGTTTGGGTTCCGTGTCAAACCAGAAATCAATGTTGAGTTATTTGAAGTTGCATACAATGTAACAACACAGTATCAGTTTATCAGGCTACATAAATTATGTATGTATAACGTTAGCGTAATGACGCCCAACCACAATGCTTTTCCCAAACCTAACCTAACCAACTGCTGCACTAACTTATGAGATATCATACAAACAGTTGTATGAGGAGATACACTGGATAAATGTAGTGAAGTAAAAAGTACAATATTTGCCTCCAAAATGTCACAGAGTTGAGATATAAAGTAGCATAAAACGTAAACACTCAAGTAAAGTGCAAGAACTTGCATTTAAGTACAAGCCTTTTTTGAGACAGGTTAAAACAACAAGACAGTTAGAAGCTCCTTTTCAAGCTTGCAAACTGTGTTATTAACGATTTCTGATACAAGAACAAAAACACAGCAAAAGTGACGTACAAAATATCAAGACATCAAGAATAGTAGGGAGTCTTTGTTTTTTGTCCCCCCTGAAGTAGTGTGGAAGCCCTTTTCACCCCCGCTGCATTGTACATGGATTAAAAACAGAGGTGAATGTAATCCTTCCCCGGAGCTGGTAGTTTTCATGAGCTGCACTCCAGAAGAGAAACGTCACTCACCATACTGTAGATGCCTCAAGCACACTGAATGATAGTGTGTGTGTGTGTGTGTGTGTGTGTGTGTGTGTGTGTGTATAAAGAAAACAAAAATGGACTAGTGTGCAGACAGGAAGAAGCACATTTATTTAATGGGGCAGCTTTCATCTTGAGGCAGTAATTATATATACCTACAGCACAAGTACTGTGCTTACAGTGTGCATGAATGAAATTTCAGTTGGTCAAAAGGCGGTGCAAATAAAGATTTGCTTTTTAGAAATAAACGGATTACCTTAATTAGATACACGTCTACAGACATATAAGATGCAAGGCCTACTTATGCACAGGGATGTTTTTAGCTAAATGCTGAAGTCACCTTGCTAGCATACTCACAATATGCTGATGATTAGCAGGTATGAGTTTACCATGTTCAGCATCTTAGTTTAGCATGTTAGCATGCTAACATTTGTATTTAGCGCTAAACATAAAGTGCAGCTGAGACTGATGGGAATGTCATTAGTTTTGTACGTGGTCATAAATTTTGACCTGGAGATGGTGCTAGATGAAAGGTCAGAGATCAGAGTAATTACAGTTCATCCTCTGAGGAACATGGCAATCTGACTATTTACTGTGAAGTCACTTTTCCCAAAACTATGATGTCAACCTCATGGTGGCACTGTCAAGGGATCACTAAAGTTACTGAGATTCATCCTCTGGAGACCGTGAATATCTGCAAAAGAATTTGTGGCAATCCATCCAGTCGTTGTTTAGACATTTCTCTCAGAACCATGACTGTCAACTTCATGGTGGCTCTGGATTAAAAGTCAGGGGATCAGCATAGTTATTCAGATTCATCATTTCCAGATCAAATCGTCCAATAGTTGTTGAGATATTTTTACTATAAACCAAAGTGTTAGACTAACCAACTGAGATTGCAATCTCAGATGTTAGATTAACATCAGGGCACATGTTGTACTGCACCATTTTTTACATAGTTTACTCTCACATGAGAATCTCATACATGGCTGGAACACAAAAGGTTAACCAGACCTGCATCGTGTATGCTGGCTTTGTGGTTTCACTCTTTCCCCCAAATCAGCTTTTTCTTTTCCTTAAACTGATCACATGCTTCTCATGTGCCCATTATGACACACAGCAACCACAACATGTCCTATCTTAAACACAAATGAAAGAGATTTTGGCTCCATCAGCGTTAAATTTAACCAATGAGATGCTTTCGACTGAGTTCTTGTTGTAATACCAAACAAATATATAATATATATATATATTATTAATATATAATAATAAACAATGTCTTAAAAGTCAGACATCTTCAGAGGTCATTTTAAAGAATTAAAGGGATTCTCTGCCTACTTTCATGTATTATAACATTGTGGGTTGTGTGTGCAAATGACCTTTGGTAAACTTCCCTTCATCTTAACCAGGGCTCAGATCTACCCGCTGGGGCTGTTGCTTGAACTACAGATTGTACCAAAAATGTGTGTGTGTGTGTGTGTGTGTGTGTAATTTCATAAACCAAGAACCTGTCACTTAATTGCCTATTTCTCACCAACAATGTCTTAAAACAAACATATTTTATTGCACTGTTTGCCTGTTACATGAGAATTTGTGAGCAAGAATACTGTTCCCTGTATAAAGTGCTGCAAGGATGAAGTTTTTCTGGAAACCAATGCAGAAATTACTATCGCCATGGTTCCCTCGACAAAAAACCCATGGGATTTTTCCACTGGATTTTGAATTATTGCAGAAAATAAGCTCTGTGGCAACAATATGTCTGTAATTCTTACACGTTTTGTTCAGCAAGATAATCTTTTTTGAAGCCTAAATGCAATCACTAGAAGTAAAAAGCTAATGTTAGGCTATGAACGAACTACTCCACTGTTGCATGTCTTATCATTGCTCCCACAGCAAGGCTGTAAAGTCATGTTCAGCATGATGATATTCTATAGTCTCATTTAGCCACTTATTAGCAACCACCATCTGTAAGACACATAAATGCTTCAAAAATCACAAGTGGGGCCATACTGACATATTTTATGTTGTAGAACAAAACTTGAGAGTGTCTTAAGCTTGTGTTAACCACAGACCTTATTTCAGGCATCTAACCAAAAACCCATTAAAAAAACAACAACTACTGACTTTGAAACAAGGGAATCAGGAGTGCTAAATGCTAACTCATTTCAGGGTTTTAGGACTCATTCCTGAGACGCTCTATGGAGGGGTTCCTAGGCAGCATTGATAAAAACTTAAACCAAGATTCTGTTACTGTATTATCTAATTCTCACCTAAAAAAATCTCCAAAATGCCATATTTTAGTGCACTGTTTGCCTGTAATATGAGAATTTGTCAACAAGTGGGCACCATACTGTTTCCTACAAGGCAAAAACTGAGGCTGAAAATACTGAGACCAAACAGTAAAACTAAGTAGTGCTGAACAAATTTAAACCAAGACTCTGTTATTGAGTTTCAGTTTTCTCGTCTCAAATGCTCTCGGAAACATATTTTATTTTACCATTTAGCTGTAACGTTAATTCAAGATTGTTTGTTAACAGCTGGCTTCCATATTGTTTTCTGTGGAAAAAACGCACGCTGGCATTACCTCACCCACCAGCAAAGAGTTTGGTGTGTGGTGCAGTGCATTCTGGTTGTTGTAGGTTTTCTACCTTTTGAGTATAAACAAGAAAAAGCCAGAAACACTTGGTGTCCTTCGTTACCAACTTTTAATACCTCACTGGTACAGGCGATCAAACACGCAGACCCATTTCCACAAGTGTCTTCCTCAGTGTGTGAAAAGACAGACCTGTGGCACTTTATCTATTTTTTACTGTACCATTTGCTGCTAAGTAGTATTTTGTATTTTTTTTTTTTTTTTTGGGTGTACTCAGTAAGTATTTATTACTCTTAGGCACTTCATATTATAGATGTGTTTTCTTGATATTGGTCTATTTAATACCTACTGATACATGTTTTGTACTTTTTTCTCTTCTATGAGATGTTTTTCTATGATTACCAGGATTCTGCTTGGTGCTCTGGTGATTGCCTAATGCCATGCAGCTGTGTGATTGGGAATGGAGGTTATTGCTACATGTCTCACCCTGCTTTTCTGTCTTTTCACACACTGAGGAAGACACTTGTCGAAACCTTGTCAAACTGCGTGTTTGATTGCCTGTACCAGTGAGGTATTAAAAGTTGGTAACGAAGGACACCGAGTGTTGCTGACTTTTTCTTGTTTTTGTTCTGTGGCCGAGCACCTCCAGACTTTTTTCTTCTTTTTTGAGAGTGCGTGTTGTCTTTCTTCATTGATTTACTGCTCCTGAACGCAGCACCTCTCTCACTCCCTCGTCCTACAAGGATATCGACATGCTCACAGAAATAAGAGCATGTACGCTCACTTTTTCAGATACTGACTCTGAAGACATCTTGAGTCTCTTCCCGGAGGACTCATTATCTATTTCCAGTCTTGACGTCAACACTGTGACATCATTCACACAACGTTATGAGAATCTACTTAAGACAGAAGTATGCACTCATCTTCATGGCTCCACATTGGCCCATTACTGGTGCAACAGAAGGATCCCAAGAGGACTTCGCATTAACAAAGAAGCTGCCCTGGGCCGAGGTGACGGTGAGTTTTGTTCCAA